ACATTAGAAGTAAATTATTTGTTAAACATCATCAAAACAAGAAGGGCAACATAGATAACGAATAGCCCAAAGAATCTGAATCTGAATTATTGCCACTAGCATTGATAACATTCACCTCTGAAGCTTGAATAGCTTTTCCCTTATTCTTCCCGGCTCGATCAACCAACTTTTTCACCTCTGAAGCTTGAATAGCTTTTCCCTTATTCTTCCCGGCTCGATCAACCAACTTTGGGCATTCGGTTTTTCAATGTCCATCCTCTTTACAAAAGCGGCTCGATCAACCAACTTTGGGCATTCGGTTTTTCAATGTCCATCCTCTTTACAAAAGGCACACTGATTCCTACGAACTCTAATATGTGCCCCTCTAGACTGCGACCTCCTACCGCGATTTGGACTCTTTGCTCTTACGATCAATGCCCCCGCTACTGGCTCAACTGAAGTCTTCTTATCCTTCTTTCAAAGCTGATAATTCACAAGTGCAGCGGTGACCTCACTATAAGAAAGAGATGTATTCCTATTAATAAGAGTAAGAACGAATGTCTCATATTCCTCGTCAGGTAAGGAACTCAACAACAACAACGCTTTATCCTCATCTTATCACATCTACATTCGCCAAATTCGTAAGAAGCTTCGTGTAGTGGTTCATGTGATCACCAATGGGGGTCCCCTTCTTCAATTAGAAGCGATAAAGCCTCCTCTTCAAATGCAAGCGGTTCTCTACACTTTTGGTCAAATAATTTCCCTCTAGGATCTCTCAAATCTTCTTAGCCGAAGCCTCATTGATCACATCACATTTTAAATCTTGAGTCAAACAAGATCTAATCACACCACACGCTGTTCTATTCATCTTTTTCCAAACCTTCTCCTCAATGTCGTCCGGTTTCCCGTCCAACTCCAAATTATCTTCCAAATTATCCAAGACTTCACATCTCCAAAGACCAAAATTGTTTGTGCCATTAAACTTCTCCACGTCTATCTTCATAGAGTATTCAAACTTTGGATGGTCTTCATGCCGAAAGTACCCTCCACAACTCTTTCTTTCCCGACCATTTTTCTCAAAGCACCAAAACAAATACGGAACAAATGAAGAATAGATTCAAAACTAAAAAAGATAGAGTCTTTACCAAAAAGATCTCACCTTTATCACCAAACAAAACCCTAGGCGAGCCTCCAAAACGACCTACTCCTCCAAATAGCTCAAGTGTAGCCCGAGCTCTGATACCACTTGTTGAACGCTGTGGAAGCCAAACAACCAAACCAACGTGCTACGAGAAATCAAATTAAATGAACGTCGAGAGAAGGCCAAACGAACCAAATCAATATCACAAACACAATCAACCAATTTTAACGTGATTCGACAAATTGCCTACGTCCACGGGACAAGAAGGGGATAGGGTTTTTTACTAATAGAGAAGAAGAATACAAACTGAGATTACAAATCACTCAAACTCACCAATTAATCTCACCAACAAATCTCTAATTCCCTCCAAACAAAATCCTAACCAATAGCTCAGAAAATACCTCTTTTTTGTGCTCCAAATATCCCTAATTTTCTTCTCAATTCTCCCTTCCAATTGTTCCATATATATAGAAATCTTAAAATCATAAACATACTAGGAATTCTAAAACAAAAAACAAAACAGATTAGGAATCCTAGTAATATGTTACCAAAACAGATTTGGAATCATGTTACCAAAACAGATTAGGAATCTCAATAACATATTACCAAAACAAATTAGGAAACATATTAGGAACCTGCTATTCAACAAATATATGAAAGATTTGGGGACTAATATTGATGATAACCTATAAACAATTATTTAAGCAGTGGATGATATGCTTTGCCTGAATTATTCTACTCAAAGAAAATAAATATAAAAATAAAAGGTGATTCCCTTTCTACTTACTTTTTCTATATTGTTCGAAACATAAACAATAAAATTTACTTCTTTTATTAGAGCTTAGCAAGAGATGCAACCCAATTCTCCTTTGATTTTAATTTAAAGATATAAATTAGAATAATCGAGCAGTTGCCTCTCTCTTACGGGCCTATTTAGTTGTCAAAGGACGCAGGAAAACACAATTATGGGGAATCGACTCATTATAACAATTTCTCTTCTTTTGTTTGGTTGTAAAAAGAAAATTTGTACAAAGTGCATTGGTCCCGGAAAATTTTGAACCTTTAAAAATGTACTTAGTGCCTTGATCTCAAAAAAGGAAACTCATTTCCAAAAAATGAGCCATAAATAAGGCTTGGAAATGGAAAATTGGATCCCAGAATACAGTTTCCATGGATCATATCCTAGGGTTAGCTTTATAGGAAATTAACCTTTTTCCCCTTTCTGACTCTAATTTATCAACAATATAAATCCAAATATTTTTTATTCATGAACTAAAACAGAAATTTTTAATATAAAAGCTTAAACCATTTTTTCTTATGCACACTAATTTATCTATGATAGAACTCCCAAAAATATTTTATCCATAAATTCGAAAGAAATTTATAAGTAAAATGCTTAACCATTTGGCTTTTTTCACACAAGTATCGCAGCAACGAACAAGTCAATTTTACTTGTTTATATCTGACACTCACTAGGTAGGGTATATTCAACAAAATCAAAGTGTTTTCATGAAATAATATTCTTTCAACAAAATCAAAATTTTTCATGAGAAAAAAAGCCTTTTTAGTGAAGTCAAAGTTTTTCATTAAAAATAGTTTTTTCAATAAATTACAATTTTTTTATAAAAATTTTGAGTCTTTTAAACAGTTCAGGATATGAAGAGGAGATCTCAATCACTTTATAATTACCTTCAAAAATCTATTTTTACTATAGAAAACGAATGGAGAAGATCTCAACCATCAAATCTGATGTAAAATTAATGTCTCCTATAAGGAGAAATATTAATGGAGGAGAGAGATTTCTCAAGAAGAGAAGGGGAAATTAATGGAAGAGAGAGAGAAAGAGAGTAAATATAAGAAAATGGGTGCCAAATTGGAGTTTGGTTGAGTTAGAGAGCAACGTGTCAACTTCTTCGGCCACCGCCATTAATGCAATGGGACAGGATCGTGAGCGCTATTCAAAATGGGAGAGGAAAGGACAATTTTGAAATGTTTTTTTTGGAAAAAATACCACATAAAGATAGAGAGGTGTTATATAGATTCGGTTTAAAAATAGGTCAAATGAGTTTTTAAATAAGTTGTGGTAAAATTTTGGGTCAAAAGACAAAAACCTATAAAATGTGACTTTAGCGCAATCAGCTTGATTGGGTTCGGGCTGTGTGGATACTGCCTGGTTTTATTATCTAGCAGAAAGCCAACAAGTAATGTCTTTTTGCTCGATCTAGTATACTGTGATGTTGGCCAGCCAATTACTTATTAGCAATTTGGATTTGTTTATGTTGAACCAGGCTGCACTTATGCACTAGTTATGACTCGAGTATTAAGTCTTTTTTTTATGAGCCTAATCATTAGTCAGTGAAGATCTACACTTACAAATAATTGTCAAGAGAGGAGGAAAATAAAGGAGGAAAAGCTTGTTATTGTTTTCCTTACTGTTCTTCGCTAAGGGGCAACTGAATTTTTATACGTAGACTGATAGTCTGCATCTAGCGATAGTTGAGATTTTTTTTTTTTTTAAAGGCTCAATGTAATGCATATAACACCCTAAATTTATTAGGATTTTCTTGGGTAGTTTATTTTTTAAAAAGCAAGGGCTTAATTGCGTGTAGC